TTTCTAAAACATACCTTTTGGGAACATTTTTTTGACCAGGCTCACACTACCCATGTATCAAAGGACATCGTTAATCCTGTTATTCCAGTTATTTTTAAAAAATACACATTTTTTCCCCTTTGGAGTTGAAGTGTGTCAAAGCAAACAGATTTTCGGATTAAACAAAATAACATCATGATGATCCCCAGGTAAAGGTGTACAGCATATGCCCATACAATTACAGATAGTCCTTGATTTATGACCACAATTGAGCCCTTAAATTTCTATTACCAAGCAAGAGTTTAACGGGAGTTTTGCCTCATTTTATGACCTTTCTTGCCACAATTGTTAAGTAAACCACTGCAATTATTAAGTTAATAATATGGTTGTTAAGTGTATCCAACTGGCCTATTGACTTTGTTGGGAAATTGCAAAAGGCGATCATAATACCCTCAGACTCTGCAACCATCATAAATACATGCCAGTTGCCAAAGCCTCCGAAGGTTGATCACATGACCTTGGAGATGCTGTAACAGTTGTGTGAAAAACACTCACTTTTTCCAGTGCCTTTGTAATTTCGAGCAATCACTAAACAAAATGGTTGTAAGCCAAGGACTACTGTAAACCAAATGTTAACAGTTAAACAGGGAATATGAGTATCAGAGTTTTTCTTCATTTTATTTGGAAGGGAATAACTTTATGCAAAAGCCCTCCTGGCCATGGCTTTTTGAGCAGGAGCCAACAGTCCAGAAGGAGACCCAAATTTCACCCAACTTTTATTTGAAGGATGCCTACCCCTTCTCCCTGCCAACACCTTCAAAACTCCTCTAGCTTGACTCACTTCACTTCCCGCTCCTTGTTTTTTCTTCTTAAATCTTCCATCTGATTGAAATGCTGTAAGATTAAGGGGCTGGGTTTGGAAAGCAAGGCAATAAAATGAAGATTGTCTGGCTGCTGGAATTTAAACCCTTCACGTCTTGATCTAAATAAATGACTAACAAGCATTCTTTCCGGGTAAGTGATCCTCTGTAAAATAACACATTATAAATCACCTTCTCCCAAGCTAGTAGGGTTTCTGAATGCTAGTCTCAATTCACCTGAAGGGGTTAAAGTTCCCATAATGATCTTGATTTCACTGAATATCAGAAGGGTATCTATCATATATGTACTCGTCTGCCTGTGCAAATTCTCAAAATACAGTAACAAGATACTGAAAGAGGAACATGCTACATAGTGTATTGGAGAGATATGCTTTGTATTAGAGCAGGAGTGTCAAACTCACATCGTCATGGTGGCGTCATGTGACGTATTGAGATTCCACCCCCTCCTTTGCTAAACCAGGCGTGGGCATGTCCAATGTGTGACGTATCCAGCCCACGGGCTGCAAGTTTGACAGTCCTGCATTAGAGGTATTGAAATATCTCCTTTCTCCTCAACATTCTTTGATTTTCCCTGCATTTTCAGCAACTGTAAAGAGTGGAGTTTGTCAGTTGTCCTCCTGACAATTTGGGCTCTTGCTGAGATAGACGTTGCTCAGTATGGCTTCTGCAGATTAAAAAGCCATATATAGGATTAGTATCATGCTTAAATAGCTCGGATGTAGCTCAAGTTTCTTCTATTAAATTGTAATTGATAATCATCAAGCTTGCTACTCTTAATTAAACTGTAAATGCCCAATCTTAATGATGACATGATTAGTTTGGTAGTAACATCATGTGCGACACACCCCACAAGCACTAAACATACACTGCATAGTTAAATTCTGGCTGGTTTCTAACAAGTTTAAATTTGTGATTTATTAATGGTTTATTTTTTGCACTCCACCCATTATTACTGGGTTTACAGAAGTACTAGTAAATAAAACAGGCCTTGGCAGAATAGGTAGCTTCATTTTACTATTGAAAAGTAGCATTGTTTTGGGGGGAAAATACCAGCCTTATTCTGGAGATCAGAAGAAAGCTGCCCACCAAAGACTGATTTTTAGGTAAAACTGCAAGCGGACTGTGTGATTTATTTCACTAATAAAAATGTTTTCCCCTTCCAGCAATTGTTTATAAGAAATGTTTATTGGTATTAGTATATACTTCCTGCTGTGAATTGGATGAAATTATGTCCCACACCCAAACTGGTATAACCAGTGGTCAGGGAGTAGGAAAATTGTATTCCAAAATACCTGGTGGCCATTTCTGTGCCTATTACTGGTATAGGAGAAGTTGGAGCCACTCATAGCTTCCAATTGGACTCTAGTTTTCATCAGCCTCATCCAGCACAGCCAATAGTCAGTAATTCTAGGAGATGGGCTGATAATCTCAGGAAGGCTAAAATTCCTTAACTCTACTGCAAAGGCAAAAGTAGATTATACTGTACTTGCAAATGTACCTGATCATCAAGCAAGATGCTGTCTCTGAAGTAAATTTGTCCTTCCAGAAAATAACGCACTAAAATGCTGTGAAAATCTTGATTGGAAATAACAGTCTTATTTGTATTTATTACCAGCTTATTATGGAAAAAATGAAAACTAAGATTTCAATAAAATAAATGGATAAATTATCTTTCAATATCACATCACAATATAAAAGTGATGAAATTGTTTTAACAGATCAGCATATATAGAAATTTCCCATGGACAATAGTAATACTTCCTGAGGCTACTATTGAAAATAATAAAAACCCTCATAGCTGAAATTTTTTTGCAATTTGACACAACTTGGGTTGCTAAGAACAACAATTCTTCACGGTTATATGGCAGTGAATATTCTATTGTTGTATATATCAACTTTTTCAAGGGAACCAAGGCAACATATGTGGTACTCCCTCCTCCTCCTCCTCCTTATAATATTAACCCAATATTAATGAAATAGGTTAGACCTTTTTCAAAAACTTGGCAATGTTAAGATGTATGGGCTTTAACTCAAGAGTTCCACATCCAGCAGGCTGGCTAGAGAATTCTGGGATTTGAAGTCCACAACTTTTAACATAGTGAGTTTGAAACACATTGGGCTAGACCAGCGATGGTGAACCTATGACATGCATGTTAAAGAAGAAATGCCATGACATTTTGGGTGACACATGACAACAAATATTCTCAAAGGCATGCCCATTCTGAGATTTTGGAGGCTGAAGGGCTGACAGAAAAGCATTCTTCAAAACTCCTTCAAAATGTAGGCCTTGTGTAACCCGGAACAGCCTTAGATAAGCAGTCAACAGGAAGAGAGCACCACCTGAGGTAAGCAATGCGTGGCAAATCCAGGAGAGGGTGGGCCATGGGGGCAAATTTTGTCGGTCACCACAGCTTGGGCTCTTTAGGGAATGAGGCAAGGTAACCTTTTTGAGTGGCAATGTTGGCACTAAAGCTGAAATTGAGGCCTGGGCTTCTACTTCAGGCCCACCCTCAGCATTGCTGCTGTTCAGATTGGCCTAACTACTTACCTCCTGGGGGTGGGGAGAAATAGAGAATTGTTTCGCTTTTGCTTTTTGGGGGGTGTGCCACACACCAGCAGACAAGTTAAGCATTTTCTGAATTTTTGACACACCAAGCCCAAAAGGTTCACCAGCACCAGGTTAGACTGAAAGAGAGAGTAGCTAGTGTGTTTTGTCAACCTCAATATTTAAGAAGGGTAAATGTCAACTCCCAGAATTCACCAGCTAGCATGCTGCTTTTGTTTACTTGTTTACTTATTTAAAACATTTAGATAGCCACTCATCTTTCAACCAACTCTGGGCAGCTCCCAATCAAATTTTAAAAAAAAAACTCACATAAAATTGTACAACTCAACTAATTAAAAAAATGAAAAACCGAAGAAGCTTCTTGCATGAAAAGCAAAATGACTTCAATGAAAAAGCACCTTTGGGCAACCATGGATGACTAAGAATTTCCATAGAGATTGAGTATGTGAAGAGGTGATAGTAGGAAGATATTAGAAATGACAATTGTGCATTGGCACGAAGAAATATTGTGCAATTTTGACACAAATATTGTGTCAAAGATTGTTCACCCTTTACACCCAAGGAAGCAAATAGTATTTTTGTATCGATTGGTCTCGAGTTTTGGTATCTTATGCAAGACTTAATAGGGATTTAAATGTAGGTTGCCATGATCGATAAAAGAAGCTGATGTGTAATTCTTTATATATTCCTTTTGGTGGGAGAAAATAGTATCATTGTGTCACACTGCTGACTTTAAGCTTTGAAAAGGTGTGTAGGAGGCAGCCCGCTAAAACCCTTTCACTGTAGCTCTAGAAATTGTTCTGCTGGGACAGCATGTGTGACTTGCAAATATGAATGAACATAACTGGCAAAAGGGGAATCTTTGTTGAGTGTCTACAGTGATGCACACGTGGAGAAAGCTGCTCTCCCCCCCCCCCCCCCCCGCTGATGGTAATGGCTCATTCACCCCATGGAGTCTCTACTCCCATGAACACCACTCCAATGGGGGCCTTCGATGCAACGCATTGTGAAATGACTGCATGAGTTCCCTCAGCAAGCAGGCCCAGGCCTACATCACATTCACTGCATTAAATAACTCTATTGCTATGAAGGCATTCTCAATGCAGAGAATATCTTCATAGGAATATAGAGTGACCAGATATTCTTGAAAACCATTTTAGATACAAGGAAACAGCAGCTTTGGACAACAAATCATGAGAGCAGAAGAAAGTAGGACACTAGGTAAAATGTTGGTCTTACCTTACTTGAGCGCCACATAATTAACTGTTTAATCTGTTAAATGCTGTAGCTTTTGCTTCAGCAAATTTTATTCAAAATTGCAAAAGTAGATTTATTTCAAAATCTACTGCAAAAGAGTTACCCAAGGTATAAATCCAGATGTTCAAAAGCAATTCCAGCAAGCTACCCCATTTGTTAGGGCAGAGCTCCCCAAACTTGGCAACTAAGCCTTGTGGACTTCAACTCCCAGAATTCTCCAGCCAGCATAGCTAGGAGTCTTCTAGGAGTTGAAGTCCACAAGGCTTAAAGTTACCATGTTTGGAGACCTCTGAGTTAGGGTGACTGGGGCTGATAGGAATTGCCCTGCAATAACATCTGATGTATTTAATAAAAATGGAGGGTAATTATTTCCAAACAGAAATGTGCACAGTCCTATCTGTGTATAAATGATCTGGTTTGGGTTTCAGTGTGTATGGATCCAAGGCAAGAGAGATAGGAAACTGACAGCGGTTGGTATGTGCTGCACTTTGACATTGTCAGTGACTGAAAGGAGGGACAGAGAAACTAGAAATTTGAAGATGAGATAATGGGATAAACCATGCCGAGATTGTTTTTTTTTAAATAAAGTTTTATTTGGGTTTTCACACACACAAAACACAAGTAAAACATCTTTTTTGAAAATAGCATGGTCCCGGGTTGAACTTTTTTATACAGACACAAAACTCAATTTCATGCTTCTTTTTGTGTTCTATTCCATATCTTATACTATTCTACATTTTCTATATAGTTTCTCCCCTTTTAATTTTGTCAATTTTATTTTGATTATCTCATCTCAATTCAAATCATTATATTTATACTTTTGTCTGTTCTGTTTCAATTTCATATTAACTTCTCATTAAATAAATTTTCTCCTGTAGTTACCAATTGGAGTATGACACTTTTATATCTTTTAATTACATCCATTCAACTCTTATTTAAACTTCAATATATACCTTAAAGTTATGACCTTCAATATAATACATAACTTCCAATCGAATTCTGCTTGGTACATTCTTATAATACACACTATATTCTTTAAAAAAAAGATTATAAGTATATGTAATTATAAACCCTTGTTCCATTCCAATTCAGTTCTATCATTAATAATCATTAAAATCTTAACATCTTTAACACTTCTTTTCAATTAAATATCATACTTCCTTAAAGACTGAAAGGAGGGACAGAGGAACCAGAAATTTGAAAATGAGATAATGGGATAAACCATGCTGAGATTGAGAGAATGAAAGAAGGGAAGAGGAGATGTAATGTGCTTAACCTTTGCTTATTCACCCTGTCTGGATTTTATTTTGTCCCAAGCCTGGAAACAAGCATTTTAGGGTCCAGTTCTGCCAAAGCATGCTTGGCTCCAAATGAATTCCTGAAAACACAGTGGTTTTGTTCAATGTTCAAAAGAAAGCATTTGTGTTGTGCAAACCCCTTACCTCCCACACATCTTTCAGTAATTATATGTTCAATGTGGGATTAAATTATGTCTTTTACTTGTGAAATAGCCATTGCTGCAGTCACATGGTGAATAGCACATTATCTTAGCTTTTCCCTAGCCACATTGTTAAGCTTCTTTAAGTATACTGTAGATCTCACAATATCAATAAACTTTGTCCTGAATAGTAGACCATGTTTAACCCAACAAAAAAAAAAGAACATCAAGTTGTTATAATCAAATATGAAGAGCTGTGCTCAGATAACTAACTCTATGTGTTGTACTTGAAAGAAGACTGGAGATATTCAATCTTGTATTTGACAAGAGGGTGTGTACAAATTTTGATAAGCCTTTGCACCATGGTTGTGTCATGTGCATGTAATGTTTCTATATTCGATATGGATTTATTTTCTGGAATTTAAGCAACTGGCTGGCAACAATTTTCTAGCATCAACTGCTACTGAACAAAACCTTTAGGACTGATGGAAAGTGATTTTGATCTGCAACTGTTTTCTTTCTGAATAGAAACATGCAAGAAGTTAAATACAAGAAGCTAATCCTGAGAAGAATGCCCTTCCTGAGGTTTTGTTGTTTTTCTTGAAAACGTGCCAATTTGCCATCAAAATTCAACTATGATGGAAATTCCTACACTTCAGCAAATGAATTTGAGAGACATCTTGGTAGTACATGTAATATTTGCAACACAAGTAGAATGTAACTATAGACGTGTGTGTACATGTGAACAAAATAAGAATCAAGATTAATGGAAGCTGAATAAACGTAGACAATATAGGAATAATCCATACAAAAGTAGTAGCTGGATATTTGATCATATAGAATGAAGATCAAATCACAGAGGATAGAAAAATGTGGATTTACGTAAGCACGATTTTCTTTCTTTCCTGTCTATAATTTGTTTTGCTTGCCATTTGCAGTTTGAATATTGCTTATCCCAAAATGGAACACTTGATAGTTTGTGGGGAAACACCCATGGCATATTTAGAGTTGTCGTAAAAATGCTGACTGTACAGGTAGGCCCAGCCCGAAATACACATTAAGCAGATGGCAGGTAGGTGAGATTCTTTCATCACGTTCAGGAAAGCCAGTTTCCAACTTCTCTTTTGTCGTTCTCTCTTTCAGGCACCGACACTTCAAAACAAGGTGGAGTCTTCCACCATTATTATTAAAAAAAATTATAATGGGGGATATGTTAGGAAAGTCTAGAAATTAAGGTGCTGGCATCTGACAATTTGCTCCATTGATGTGCTTGCTGCCCAGTTATTTTTTTTAATTAAGAATCTAAAATAATGCTGAAACTAGTGTAGGAGGGAATCCAGTGATGCCAAGGTGTCTAGGAACACATTAATAACTTGTGCATCACTATGCCTATCCTTGCTCCACGCTATGACAGAAATTAAGGCAATGCCTTTTAAAGGCTTACTGAACAAAAGCACCAGAAGGCATCTATTTAGGTGCTTCTACTCTCTAAGAAGCCTTAAATTAACTGAAACATTAAAAATTGCAATTTAAATATTTTGATGCAGCAAGGCGTAGAATGCTCATAAAAATGTTTTGCTAATGCCTTCCTGCTGTTCTATAGAAATGATTATTACTTTACAATAACGTTGCCTTGACAGTGTATAGTCCTTTCGTAATACAGTCAGGATGAATGTGCATAACTGCTCTCAATTATTTACGGAGGAGCATAATTAAAACTAGTGTTGACTTAACTACAACAGCAAAGTCAGATGATGCATATGAGACATGTTCCAGTGTTAATGTTTTGATTTCACTATAAATTTGTTGCTTGGTGATTAACATTTGCTGATTATTCCAGTCACAAACCTACCATTAGAGTATACTGGAAAGCTTACAATATCCCTCTCATGCTAGATAACATCAAAGGAAGGAAGGCAAAGGTGCACATAAAATTGCATTAGTTAAATTAGGGATTTCGGAACAGAAGTGTATTGTTTTTGTTGTTCATTCTGGAATTTCCGGTGGGGGGGACTTCATTATACAAATGAAATTTAAAGTAATTGTTTCATTTCATCACTGTATAATTGCTAAGCCACAAGTTGTGTCCTACATAACTGTGTAAAAGCTGGACACACGTAAGCAGTGAAAACCTCAAAATTACATACAAATAGTTATTTGTATTTAGATAAAACTGGCAAAAGCATTTCTTAAAAAAAAACCACATGTATCAGAGTAATTTATCCTCAATTAAAAAAAAAATCATACTTTATGTAAATGAATTACCCAAGAACACTTATAGCAAACAAGCCAGATCTATTGCTTAGCAACTCAGCAATTTGTTATTGGCCAATTCCACTTGATAGAAGATTATACTGAGCCCTGTTTTCCTCACTTTCACCTATGAAACAAGCTGGTTCCTCCATTCAAGTAAATAGATCAGCTTCAAGCAAGATGCATTCATGGCATGGCTGAAGCCAAATGTGGAAGGCTGGCACACTTTAGGCATGCATTATTAAGAAAAAAATCTTAAGATAACAATGGAAAACTCATATCAAAATTAAGTAAAATAGTAACGTTCCCAGGATCTGTACTGAATAATAAAAGGTAAAATATTCAACATAATTCTGAATATTTGCATCTCAAGCATCTAGAGATTGTGTCATAAAAATAAAAGGAACAGCAAAATAGTTCTGAAAGAGGGCACCTGTTGTAGATTATTAATTAGCAGAGTTAACTATGGTTGTCAAGGTTCTGTTTTTGTTGTTAAAATATTTAATGCCCTCCAATTAAATGTAAAAAAATTTATTCAATCTAGTCCAATATGTGATCACAACAGAAACATTAAACAGCACAACAGAATAATGGTTTTGCTACTGAATTAAAAATAATTCCACATTATTCACAGTACATTTGAGTAAGAAGATACAGAATAGTTTCTGAAGTTTAACCATAGAATAAATTTCAAATCCATACACTGCACCAGGTGACATGAGACTATGTGTTATCTGTTAAAAAAAAAATCCAGCAGGTAACAAAGGGCTAGTGTTCATACCAAAAATAACACTCACAAGACTTTTCCTCAAAAGAATTTTACAAAGTATTTATAGCACTGAAGATCCTTGAAGAAATCCAGCAGTTTGCAAATACCTCTCTCTCTCTGTAATTCCAGAGTCCAACTGAATTAAACTTGTAATTCTTTTCAGTAGTTAGAAGATACAACTAGTATTCTATACTTCATATTTCTTCACGTACTTTAATACTGGAATACTACTTGGTCATAATATACATTTTCTACATTTTTAAAATAGTACATTTCTATAGCTAAAATAATGTCCACTTCAGAAAATCATACTTTGTTAGCATACATTATTGCAAATGAACATGAAGCCCATTTTGTTTAATTTCTGATGAAGATTTATTTACCAATTCTTAAAAAGAATAACTTTCTATCATTTACAGTGAATATTACACTGTTGAATCTAGCATTATCTAGTTCTCCAATGCTGCTGATACAAATTGCCACCAGTAATCCCAGGAATTGGAATTGATTACATAAATATGACTTCACACTGATAAGCTTATTTCTTTTGTTGAGAAAAAGATAGCTCAAGTACCATTCCTAAATCTCAACTCTTTATGTTATAAGAAACCCATTCTGTTTACTAGAAAAGGGTTTCTCTATGTCTGCATGTAGAATTAGGACCACTACTCCAAGTATTTGCTGGGAGGTTCCATCAAAATCAAAGACACTTAGAAATTGTATTCTCAAAACAAAACCAGTAAAGTGCCAGATGTCATAGGAGTAAAATATTAAAACAATTTCTATTTAAAAAAGCCCTACTAGTAAATACAATTTGTATTATGTTTATAGTTTCCTGAATACTTTTGGAAGTATAGGCAGAATACTTCTACATATAGCTGCATGTTATCAGTCCTGGTTTTGAATCTTACTTTTATATTTATCTTGAACTAATAATATCCATCATTTGACTGAGATTCCATAGTACATTGGTACAAAGCAATAACTTCAATATTGCAACTTGGTTACAAGCAGATTGCGATTCACTTTTTTCATTTCACAGCAGGCAAATGAGACTCAATTATATGTAGTACAACTTACAATGCAAGGACTAAAGGTAAACCATCAGATGAAACTTTTAAATAAAAAAATGTTACGTTAATATACCAAGTGATTATTAAGAACAGGCATATGTTCAGTTTTTAACATTCTAGAATTTTGACAGGTAGTTGTTGACTAGCAAAGAATTATGAATTTACTGCAATGAGCATACAAAAGATATTTCAATATAGTCTGCACATAATTTATTAACTTCGTAAGTGTTTGGCTGTTTCAGAAAACCCCCAAAAGGCAATATATCCCCACAAGAAATGGATTCAGATGTCTCCTGCCACAAAGAAAAATACATTGATGAAATAAAATTACATTCTTAAGCTTAACAACTAAGTAGAATTCACCTTGACATTATACAGTCTTTTATTAGTCTATGTGGAAAGGGGAGAGATACGAAATGCAGCAGCATTTCATCCAATCTCGGCTCCTGTAGCTAACTAATAGAATTGTCACAGAATATCGGAAATGAGATTGTAAGAGTCTGCCAGGCATACTGTAGCCATTTATGCACCTTCTTGCTCAGGGTAGTTTAAAATTTTCCGATGAGCTTGTCGCAAATATTGCTGCTGTTTGAAGTAGACTTTGAAAGCTCCTTTTATAGCAACAAAAGCAATTCCACCCTAAAAATAAAAGGGAACAATTATTCAAAACCTACCAGAAAAATTCAATTTTTTTAATGTGGCTTTTTATATACATTTGTAATATGCCTTGAAGTTAGGTTAATTAAAGCTATTTTATATAAATACTGGAGATGTGCCATTCCCTATCATAATGTTATTCTGAAATGTTTTCTCTTATAAAAAAATATTTCATGCTGATTTTATACATTATTTTGGAAGGGTTTTCTTTATTCATTAAATGGGAGAGAGGTGTTCTTTCTGTAATTTCTCCCCCCCCCCCCCCAGTTCAAATGACCTTGAGGAATCAGATTTTGATTCTAATTTCTCCCAATTTCTCAAACAATAATCTCTGGGAAATATTATGCTATAATTCTGGGTAGCATCTCCATTCATATGACTGCACATCTCCTTTTTTCACTTCACTTTTTTCAATTTCTTCCATGATCTCCTTGCTTAAAACTTCAGCACCTCCTCAAAACCAGCAAGTCCAACACCCTTTTCAACGTTTGTCTCATGTCTCTCTGATCCAAATGTTACCACTTATTTTGCTGAACAAGAGCATAATAGAATGTATTTATATTCTTATTCTTTGAAGTTTCATTTTCCATCCTTTAGCTAAACTAAAAATACTTAATCCAGTACAGTGCTGCAAAAAAATTAAAAGTCATTGTCACCTCATCAGTTTACTGAATATTTTCATCCTCTGTCAAATGTCATCTCCTCCATTTTGATCTTTTTGTAATACTCTGCTTCCAGATTTGTTTTCAGAACACTTCAATATTCAACCATAAATCTGAACACTGTTTTTTTTTTGCCTAATCTTGGATTCAGTCCAATTTTCATGCACTTACCTTCTATGCTGACTAGGGCCTTGTTTCCCCACTAATCTCAGATTTTGTATCCTAAAATCTCTGTCACTGCTTGCCTTTCAAAGGACACAGCTATTTCTTTCCTTTGCTGCCTGCCTGATAAATAGTGATGCTATTTATCTTATACTCTCTTAATCCCACCTTTTGGGTTAAGCCTTTGACAAAATTCTTCAGCAGCTATCCTCCCCGTTTCTCAGTGGCAAGCGCTGCATTTCTCCACATCATCAAATTCCATGTGTGTCAAGCTGTTAACAGCACCACGAAGCAAGGTTCAGTCTTATTAATAAGGTTTAATGCCAGGAAGGGATTAGATTACAGAATCCTGGAAACTAAATAAGAAAACTGTGTTCTTAATTTATTAATCTGTACTTTAATGAAAGTTCTATATGTGTTGCCCAAATTTCTTTCTTATACATTCCCTAACTGATGGACTGAGGCTTCATTGAATAGATGAAGTGAAATATGAAATGAATTTGCTCCTCATTTGCCATTTTCAGTAACACATTTCATTTCCCAATTCTTTTATAGTATATACTTGCATTTAAAGCTCCCCTGTATCTTGCAATAGCAGTAATAAAATTTTAATAGTTACATAATATTTGTATGTCATGTTTCTAATTAATTCATATAACCTTGATATCCATAGTTATCTAGCTTGTATTCAGCCTTGGTTGAATTCACTGATGAAAAAGCAATTACATAAAAGAATAACTTTTGAATACTATGACTTAAGTGATAACAAGTAGCATAGAAGCTGCTGTTGTAAATGTATGCATTTGTGTAAATTATGCATTTGAACCTTGACAACACATAGTTATGGCCACTATGATCTAGAAGACACTAATCAGTGAATCCTCAGCCTTGGTTCTAGATGCACAACTCCGTGTAAACTGACTTTCCTATCTATTGTTTAGTCAAAACAATGAATTAGGAATAAGGAACTGCATCTAGTTCAATGTTTCCCAATCTTGGCAAATTGAAGATGAGTGGACCTCACTCCCTCTGGAATTCTCAGTAATTGTCTGTATACCCAGAACTGCCATTGTTGGGTAACCATGATTCAGTACCAGGAGCTAGGATTCCTATCCAATAACCTCAGCCGGTTAAATAGGGTGGATTTGAAAACCTGGATTTTTACTCCCTCCATCTTATTTATTTACAAAACGTCTACCCCATATTTATTCACCCTACAGCTTACAGGTGCGTAACTCCTACCAATAATATCCAAGTAAAATTCTTTCAAAAAAAATTGCAACACAAAAGCCATTATCAAAACCACTTATGCTATTGCCCAAAAATGTAATCGTTGCTAGCCACCTCCTGCAACTGGATTAGGGAATTGCCAGCCTCTTCTTGCTCACTGAACATAACAGAGGTGTGGGAACAGATAATTTCAATTGCTGGGAAAGAACTCTGATGGAAGCCCCCTGGACCATATCAAATCCATGGTCTCAAAATTCCTCATTCCTGCAATAAATCATGTCATCACACAATAACAGGATTTCTAGGTATGACTGAAAATCAGCTCTGAATAAGGCAAGTCTGAGACTTAAAAAAGTTTCAGTATGGATTCATGAAATCACTGATTAGTCTTGTGAAATGGCACTTTTTAACATAAGGAAATCCTGACACAACACATGGGTTACACAACAGATTATCTCTGAAAATATTATACAGGTAGATTCACAAAAACCATGAAGGTGAGGTTTTATTTAATAGTTTATAGTTAGCATGACACAGGAAACCAGCTATTTATTAGATAGGTTTAGTGTGTTCATTAAATAGCAACTGTGACTCATTAAATCATTTAAAGCTATGTGAAACTGGTCTATTATATTTGTATGAAAAATTTAGGCAACCCTAATCAAATTGTATGTTTCAATGGAATTCTAAATGAACAAAATTGACACAATCTTTATGTTGTTTCTGTGACTTTGAATGTATATGTAATATTTACTTACAGTTCTTTACGGTTTTAAAATGAGAATTTAGGTATTTATTACATAGAATGTTATTTAGTAGGAAGAGTATAAAAACAATTATGTAAAGCGATGACAAGTGGTTAGAAATCTTTCTATAATCTTGCAGGTTTACTTCTACAAGGAAACTTCATCTTACCAAAATTGTTCTTTGAAGATTAGAATTAACACTGCTGAACATCAATTTTCCCACTATTGTGGCGATTGTGGGAAAGACAAGAGCTCCACATAGGATACGAGTCGCAGAGACATGATCTGCTAAAGGGTTTGCCTCAGCTGGAATACGAGGAACAGGACATCCAATCCCTGAAGAAAAATACCATTGCTAGCTACATATTAGGAGATATATATATATATATTTACACATTTCTATGCAACACATTTTTCAATACAGTATTTTAATTTTATTCACATTCAGAATTCTTTACACTACTATATTTTTGTATTAAATTCCATTAAACAATGTATTATTTTTAATGATGCCATACAAAATAAGTTTCTTTTTTATATTTTGGTTTTTCAACATACCTCGTCAATTGAGAACCAGCCAAAAATGTGCTAGGCAGGCTTTTCCTTAAGGAAGGAGAAATTTGCTCTACCATTTCATTCTTTCTCATTGAAATCAAGCCTAGCGTAGACATTAAAATTTTATAGCATTACCTGGAAATATGCTGTTCAGTATCTGCAGTTTGTTAGAGTACTTTCGCCACAATCTAAGCACATAGTCTTCCCAACGGATCATCTTTCCCAATATAAGCATAACTGGGATGGTGGGAAGTCCAATCAAAAGGAATAATGGATCTGCTCTCTCCATGACATCAAGGCCTTCTTTATGACCTACGACCTGACCAAAACAAAACTACACATTACTACGTTACTATTACAAGCATCTCATTTTTGTTAATACATAATAATTTTAGAAAGGATACTCAAAGAATTTTTAATCAAGTGTGTTATTAACCCAATCTGGTCCTTTTCAATTATGAAAGCAGAATAGTTTCAGTTGAACAAATCTATTTAGAAAATATTACAGAAAAGCTGGAAAATACCAAATCCTTCTGGTGAATACAAGTAGCATTATATTACACTATTGTACTGGGACAAAAAGCCTTTCCTCTACACAGCCATTAAGAGGACGAGGGAAAGGAAAATTGGAAATTGACAAACTATATTTAGCACCATTTAAGACTAATAAACTATTTTTATCATTTATAAAGTATTTCTTTTGATATAGTTTTCAAATCTGTTGCAACATGATCTGAATGAGTTGTGTTGGCAGCATAAATATATATTTTTTAAATTGAACCTTTATTAGATTTTAACATCGAACATTAATATTCAAACTAACATAAAGGGGGAAAAGGAGTAACAAAAATGAAAAGTGACAAAATATACA